AAGCCTGCTTCTCCCTCTCCCACTCCCCCTGCTTGTGTTCCCTCTCTCGCTGTCTCTCTCTGTGTCAAATAAATAAATAAAATCTTTAAAAAAAACAAACAAACAAAACAAATAAAGCTTTAAAAAAGTAAATAAAAAATCACAACTCTTAGGAATTTTTATATTATAACAAAGTAATCTACAAAACAAATTCTTTCTTCACATTAGCTTATATTGTGAACCTGAGTAGATGTATCCATGGGTAATGTAGTGTAGTAGAAAGGTCATGGACTTTGGTGTCATTATAGGCAGTCCAACATCCAGTCCTAACTTGTTACATGACTTGAGGGACATTGCTTACCTTCCCTGAGTTTCCTGAAGTTACTGGAAGGGTTAAACGAGATAGTACTTGGTATGTAGTATATAGTGTTTATTAATATTTGTCTTTTGTTTTTTTCCTAGATTAGATTATTCTCATTTTCTAGAGAGAAATGGGTTCAAGTAAGGGCCATTACCAGTACCAGGACAACAATGCCTGCTTTGCTTGATTAGCAGCCCTTTTTGGAACTGTGCCATTGTTGTATGTCTGCAGGATGTTTTCTGCAGTAGATTAGAATGAAATCCTGTCTGTCCTTACAGAAAAGAATCACAGTGTTTTTAATGAGTTGGTAACTCATAGACATAATGCATGTGATATTTTTCAAGAGGGACAGCCTTCAATAAATTGAGGTAGGAATAGTAGAGTCCCCTAATCCTCGTTCTACCTATGCCCTGGTATTAGGAGGTGGAAGGAAGTTCTCCAGTTTTGGTGGAAGAAGGGGGAAATTTTCGACATCCTGCACTAGAAATTGAACCATAGCCAATATTTCTGTAACTCCACATATTTACATTTTATGTAAATAGAAGTCTTTCAGTGGTGACTTGGGGCTTTGGAGCATAAATTCAGATTTTCTCATCTCCCTTGGAGATTCCTGGGATTGCACTGAATTTTCAGGATGATCTTTTGAAATATAAATTAGATATATTTCTCTTCTGACTAAAATTGTTCAGTGCCTTCTTATCACAGAATTAAATCTTTACCACAACCTGTAAGACTCTATATGGTCTGGCCCCTCGGTTTTCTCCATACTATTCCACCTAAAGTTACTGTAGCCCAACTCTCCAGTTACCCTCTTTTATATTATCCTGTTGTGTCATTTTCATGGCACTTTTATTATTAAAATTGTCTTCTTTATATATTTGTTTATATATTTACTGTCCATGTCCTCCCTCTAGAATGTAAGCTTCTTGTATCCTCAAGGTCTAGAATAGAGCCTATCATTCAATAAATATTGAATGTGAATGAACTAACTTATAAATAAGTCCTTATGTTACTTTAGCCCACACACAAAGAATCCTTAAACTTTAGGAAGCACACATGAAGCACAGAGATTTTAGTA